TGGTGACTACAATGACACTATCAAGTGGAACCACCAGGGCAAAGAACACTTCTCTTTTAAAGGAAAGGAAAATACTAGCTCTGCCCTTGTATCTGAAGAATAGGCTATAAACAAATATCTCAAATTAGCAAGATGATGGCCATTATATCTAAGTAATAGGCTATAAAAAAAATTCTCAAAATGGCAAGACGATGAGCATTGTATCAAAAGCAAAAGGCTATAAAGATGGATACCAAGATCTCACAAGATGGGGCTATGTGATAAGATCAAGGGCCTTTTTTTCCTTATTTTATGGGAGGGGGGTGAGGCTAGGATTTCTAGAGAGAAGGAAGATCCTGATGATTTTTATTTGAAGGAAGGACATTCATCCTCTTCACAGCCATTAATATGTACCTATCTATTACATGCATCATTAATACTTAACAATTCAGCTAGACTGTGGAATATCCTCTTCACAGCCATTAATATGTACCCATCTATTACATGCATCATTAATAATTAACAATTCAGCTAGACTGTGGAATATTAGAAATGGACAAAAGAACTCACTAAATCACCCAAATTTCTAAATTATACAACCACTAATAGCTATATATTAAAGACGGAAAATAAACATTTGTGTGAAGATTAACATTTGTGTTTGCAGATGAAGGATCACTACCACATAAAGAAATCATTGAAGTGCTGACCCAAAATACATTAGTAAAATAATGGTTTCAGCTAAAGGGAAAATCCAGAAATAATGCTAAATCTCACAATACTTTCAACACCCGCAAAATTGAAACTTTTCTTTGCCTAAATAAAGAAGCAATTTTAACTTATTTTACCAACCCAAATACCCAATTATACTACTTCCTCCATTCTTTTTTTACCTTGACCAATTACACTATTCATATCTCCTCCGTTGACCGTCTTTTGTGAGTTATATGTAAGGAAATTCATATTCATATGGGAACTTATTAGTATTGTCTTAATAAATACTATTATAATATTTAGTTTTAATAATTTTAACTTGTTGAAAATTAAAGTTATTGATGGTTAAAGCTGCATTGGCAAGTGTGATAAACAATGCATGTCAAGTAAAAAAGAACGAAAGAAGTATTTTTCCATCCACTCCCTCCTAATTCTATTTGATTACCAACTTACCTTATCAGTGTTAACCCTTCCCTTCCCCAAGTTCATGGCTCCACCAACAGATCTTGAATAACCACCCATCACCATTCCCACCTCAGGTGTCACCACCCTCACTGAAACAATCAGCACCCCACCACTGTCACAAAAAACGCACCCTCCCTAACCTTCTTACAGAAAACAATTTGCAACCCTTCTACTCTGGCCGAAAACCACAAGCATCCCCACTCGCACCAAAAACCACCAGCACCCCCACCCACTACCAACAAAACCACCATACCAAAAAATATAAAAACCCTTTAATTCCAGTCAAATCTCTGACCCTTAACATTGAAAATATCCTCTTCTCAAAATCACCACACCAACATCTTCAAAAGTCCAAAATCACCAATCCCCACACCATGCAACCTTACCATTATCAAACCATAACTCACTCTCTCTTCTCTCAATCTTTTATTATCCCCAATATAAATTCACGGGAATGGTGATGGGTACTTTTCTCTTGATATTTCTCTGGATATCTCTTGATATATCTCTTGATATTCTTTGTTTAAAATTGAGGAAGGGTGGTGATGGCTTCATAGTGGTGGTGATTGGGATGAGGAGGGAAGGAATATGGGATCATGGTGTTGTAGTGAACGGTTGTTCATCTACTTCCTTTTTCTGCTTCATTTTAATCAATTATAGGGTTTATTAATTTGTTAAATTTATGTGCTCCCCCCCCCCCCCTTATAAGTTCACATTAGTTGTCTAAGATATGGTCTTTATTCTGATTTGTTTTCCCCAAAGTTTAAGTTACTGTGGCAGCAGACCAGCAGTGGTGGAGGCGGCAGTGAGTCTTGGAGGAGGTGTAATGGGTTGCTTTGGTAAATGACAGGCATAATGTTATGGGATGAAGTGGTTGATTAGATATACAAATCAAAGTAATTAACTCCATGCATGGACCAGCCTTTGATACTTTGACACTCTCTGTCTCTCCTCTCCACTTTCTTAATTTCTGTGCAAAAGGGTATGTTGCAACTATAAATAGATAAAGTACATAATTTTGCATAATGACTTGTCCCAAAATGACCTATGAATCCACAACTTACTGCTTTGAGTACAGAACATACCTTGAATTAGATTCCACCACGTCCAAATCAGACATTTGCAGCTTCCTTCAGACAACAGATGAAAATCTACACCCTGACTTAATTGTCAGCTCCAACTTAAATACTGGTAAGTAAATTAGTTTCTTCCTCTAGTTGGTGTACCCAATTACAGAGCAACAGGCAGATAGCTCAAATGAGCTAGTATGAACAGCACTCCTGCAAAATAATCATGACACAATTTTGAGTCAGAAATCTAATGAGATAATAATACATTTATAAAGGAGATTAAAAAGCATCACTGAAACTTAAAAAGGCATATTCAATCCTTCGATAAAAAAAATAAAAAATAAAAACTTTGTAACAACAATGTTAGTGCACAAAGTTCATCCATGTATACTATTAAAAAATTCAACAGCAAAATTACTGCAATTTAATTTATTGGAAAAACTAGGGATAAAAAAATTCATAAAAAGTCTAACATCTAACTGATCAAAGGCAAACAAAAAAGCAAGTCTTGCTACTTGTCAAAAATGGATGTCAAGTTGGACACTTCTATCTCTTTTGGGGGGCCTTCTTCACCTACACACTCGATAGAAATAGCCACTTTTACTTGAGTTATTGGAAAGTGTGATGGGGTAAGATCATCTGCCGATTCGCGTTTGAAAGAGTTGATTTTCAGACCAATCCATTTTAAAATAATTTTAGCATGAAACAGGTTCCAAAGTAGTGTTCAAAATCCATTAATATTCGAGAGGGTTCAAGAGGGTTTTAGGTCATGCCCATTTATGCCAGGTTGTGTAAGAAACTAAGCAAGCAAACTAGATATCAAGTCGTGACTTATGAAACAGTCTGCAATTCTGTGTTTCCAACTAAACTCTCTGTTCAGAGTTAAGAGTTCAGACAATCTCTCCGCACTATTATTCTGACTATAGATTCAGTCATCTATTCATAATGATCTCCGTGACTCAGACCCACAAGCCATGGCTCTATAGTTATAACTATGAAACAATCCTACTTACATCCTAAACATATGATTGATACCATTCATATAATCCAGAATAAAATTGCATCAAGTATACCAAATTATCAATCAGGCATCTTCTCTCAAAAATATTCACGAGCAAAATTTTCCGTATCCAGTTATACATGTTCCATTTCACTTTCAATACGGTTTCATTGCATTACAAACACCCATTTTGGTTCCGAAAATCAGGATGATTATGATAGCTACAGTCACAATAACTTCCAATTGTTTTCACATTTCGATGCCAAAGCTATGTTTTTTTGACAAGGAAAGAAATTAACCTAAAATACTAATCTTGGGGATTCTCACAATAATAACAATAAATATATATAATACAGAAAACAGAAATCCAATAATAACATAGAATCCAATTCAATAAAATGAAACACATAAATTTATAAAAAAGAGCTTCAACATGATTTTAATTTGCCTCTAAAGTATTAAAAAAAAAAAAAAAACAAGATCAGCTTCAAGAATAATCTCAAAGATACAACTTCCAAATTACAAAACCTAAAACCTTGTCCTAAATATGAAAATAAAAATAAAAATAAAAAATAAAAAATAAAAGTCATTTTGCTAATAAAATAAAAATATGAACATTAAAAAAAAAAAACCCAGAAATGATAAAATAAAAATCATCGAGCTCCACAATAACACCTGAAGAATTCATACTCACGAAGAAATGAAAATAATAAACAAAAATCGACCAAAACAAGAGAATGCAACAAATCAAACAAAAACAACATAATAACAATCCAATCAAATCATAACAAAGCAACAACACTCGCAATAATAATTACATCGAAATGAAGATACCTGAGAGGCGGCGGAAGTGGCGGCGGAAATAGAGGAGAGAGAAAATAAATGGCGGAACGCCGGCGAGAGGAGGAAGAAGAAGAAGAAGAGAAAGGTGAGGTAAAGAAGATGAGATACATACAAAAATACCACCACCAATTATACGGCTGCTTATCGTTCGTCGTCAGGGTTTTTTTTTTTTTTTTTTTGGGGGGGTAAATTTTCTCTCTCTTCTTTCTCTCTCCTCTCTGCTCTTCCTTCTTCTTTTCTTCAACCCTGTAAATTTTTTATTTTTTTGGGGGGAAGGGTCAAATTTTGTTGTAATTTTTTTAGGGAGATGGTTTTGATTTTTACTGCGGGGTGTTTGATTAGGTTAGGATGTTTATAGGTTGCACGAAAATAGACACGAGTATAGGTGTGGTAGTAATGATTTTTAGTTTATATTATTGCTCGAGATTATAAAGATTGTACAAATTCACTTATATTTGTCATTATTTATGTTTGTGAGGATATACATATATACCGAGTAGATAATATAGTCGTTATTGATTATTTAATCTTGATTAGTAGATTGGCTTTCTACTAATAACACCTCAAACATCATTAAATCTTTTACCTTATCAGTTTTTAGATCTCTAGATTTTATTGAAAATTAGAGAATCTATTATTTTTAAATAATTTGTGGAAACTCGAGTAACCGAGTATGTTACATTTCTCCTCTTTTATTTGTCCCCATAATCCAAACAGAGAGAGAAACATAATAATGGATGTAATTTAAAATTATAAGTAATTAGGGAGTGTGTCACTTTTAAAATTATTTGTGTAGTGAGGTGAGAAAACTTTGACATCACGAAATTTGATTTATGTAAACTATACTTGTAGGGTTTTCAATTTTTTAGTTGAAGAACCACAAAGTAGAGATTAACTCAAACATTTTATCACTGCTTACCAAGTTGGCATTATCAACACAAAAAGTAATCTTTACTTCACTTTCACCATCATTTGTTGAACAAGTTGTAGACAACAACATGAGATGCTTATGACTAACTAGCTATAGAATGAGAAAACTAACTGATCAATACAATACACAACGCGTTTCTCAAACATCAACTCACGCAGGTGCTCGCATTACATAGTTTCCAAGGAGCATGGGACAAAATACCAGGAAAGAATCAAAACATATGAATGAAGGAACTTCTATCTGCACCCCAGAAAAGTCTTCTTCTACTCCGGTATGTAACAGCATTGTGTCGAATATCTGCGCTTACAGATGGGAGTGCATGAAGGCTTTGGAGGCGTGCAGATAGCATCGCCCATGAATAAACATAACTATAAAAAGTGTAAAAAGAGGGCAAAAGATAATTCTCTACTATATCTGGGTAACTACATAACCCTGGGGCAATGGTAAAGTATCAAAACTATACCAAACATTATGTTACATCTCCTACAACTTACACAGGGATTTTATCCCCTCTAACAGTCCTGATAGTTGATGTTACACCCTAAGTAATACCCGCTATTGAGACGAATGAAGCCGGACATGCGGACAAGGTCTATCGGGTTCTCCCCTTGTCCATAGATTCTTAAGATCACCTCTTTTTTTAGCAAGTGTCAAGAATGTGCCTGCACAGATTATAGATCAATAAATAAAAAGGCACAATCAGTGGTCAAACCAATGCCCAAAACTTCTCTTTTTCACCCACTATTACGAGTAAGAAATGAGAAGTACGTGAAGATGGCTAAAGTTCACCAAAATGAAAACACAAAAGTTCACTGAAAGGGAAACAATGAAGGTCTTTGGACCTTGCTGGTGCTGACAAGATCACATCACAGCTGGTGTCTACAGAATGGCCATGGTTTCCAGTGGCTTTGACACGAAGGAGAGAAGAATTGGTGGCTGCATAACTGAGATGGAAAATTGACTGTGTTGCAGGCCAGGGTAGAAGAGCGAATGTGGGATAATAACTTGATGTGTTATTTTCTAATCAGTATTTCATCATGGGGATGAATCTTTTAACCCGATTCGATTTGTACAGTGATAAATGGAAATTACCAAAAATTCCACTAAAAGAAGTCCGACTTCAATATTCTATAATTCAATATGGACTAACAATGGTTATCAGTGCTCAAAAAACATGCTACTTACCAAGCGTAAAAGGAACTATGTAGAGGAGAGCTGGCTGGCCATGTCCGTCCATCAAGTTCAAAGCAACATACGTTACAAGGAGACCTGCAACAGAAATATATAAGAACTTGAGAGGTCAATATTAAACTCCAGTGAGGAAATCTAAATCAAACTAGCCAGCATATCATAAATCAGATGTCATGGAGACATTACTGCTTTCAAACATATATGATGTAGATCCTGTGGAATAAAAATTGTTTCAGACACAAGAAAAGTAGTGATGAACCTTGCTATGCCCCGGAGGAAGGGGGCGTTAAACGACTAGAACAAGCGAAAAACACATAAATTTCTATAAAAAAAAAATATTTAAAAAGGGGAAGATGAAAGAATTGATAAACGCAATGCTATAGATTTCATATTTAAATAATATAAAGAGAATAATAACCCTATTCAAACACAATAATGTTATTTCAATAATATATATGTCCGAGTCCACAAGTTTCATTTTTTTTTTTCATACCAAAACCATAAGCAGTCATTCCCCACAAAAAGTATCCAGCTCGAATTCTCTTGTTCCCCAGCCAGTCATATCTGCATAGTCAACCACTCAACCCATTAACTTAATCCAACCAGAAACATCACGAAGCAAATGCAATTGTGTGATAATGTAGTAAATACTCCAATTAGAAAAAAACATTAATATTTTAGCACTGCCCTCGAATTTAGTGCAGAAATCACAAGTCCTTCCAAAAACACAACTCAAAAGCATTTCTGTATGCTACAGGATGGACAATGCAAGTACATTGGATTCCAACATTCAACATAATGCCATTCAAATATTCAATACTCAATAGATTAAAGAAGTAGCAACTCACTAAAATGCCAATCAAATTCATTTGCTTTTCAAGTGTCAGACTGCCATTCAAGAGAAGAAAATGAAGCATTGGAGTAGCATAGGTCTACAATCTATTTTTCAAATCAGAGCATAGGTATACAATCTATTTTTCAAATCATGTAGCCGACCCCACTTATGGGATTCAGGCGTTCAAGCAAGCAAGCAAAGCAGCTTTGTTCACCTTAATGAGAAGGCTATTACTAATCCTGGCAAGATGATGTCCCCAAATCCAATGACACTGTAACCACCCCACGGGTCAAACATCCTTGGTATCTTCAACAGCATTGGAATTCCATCTTCCCCACTATTATCACCACGAGCAACCTGTATAGAGATCAGAAAACAACTTATGTATCTTGTACATTGAGAGACAGCTACATACGTTGAATCAGCAGGGAGAGAATAAAATAACTGACCACAATCATAACACTCTCATGGAAGAACCACTTGGAAGCGAAGACCCAAAATATGTCATAAAAGAACGCACAACTGAGAAGAACTGTGCCAACCTGTCGGAATTAAGGAGAAATATAAAGTTACATACAGCTAGCAAATGGCCAACAACACAATTCTTATTCTAGCCTAACTCGAAGGCCTATACAATAGTTTCAGGAAGTAAACTTCAAATTCTTCTTGCTCTCTTAAATAGTATTTCAGGTTGAGCCGCACAAGCACTAAATTGACCTTTAGGTGTCTTACTAATTGAAAGACTCAAAATCAATGATAAGCTAACATGTTCAACACTGCCACAAAGCTAATAGTTACTATGATGACTTGAGATTGCTACACTAATTTTGTGCCTTTTTTTAAACAGAAGAATATTGATGTTTAAAGTGCTGGAAACATCAAAGTGTGTGGAATTTAGCTGTTAATAAAAAGGACCATCTTTACCAATGGTTTGAATCTATAAAAAGATATGGGAGAAGACCCAGAAAGTAAGAAACTTCCTTATCATTGAGGTAACGAAAAACTGAATTCAAGCCATTTATTAGCAAAAGCTTTTTTCCAGAGAGCTCATATTGCTTGTCAAATCTCAATATCTATTTAAAAATTCCTTGAGTTAGAATTTCCAAAATTTTAACTAAATAAAAAACATGTTCTTTGTAAAATGAGACCTGATTAATGAAGCCAAAGCTCATCCCTGGTAAAATAACTTTCTCATCCCACTTGTTAATAGGTTCTCTTCCTCAAGTACTGTAAAGCCAGAAAGGTGTAGTCTTGGGTTGTCTAGAAGGATTTGGTCAATAATCAAGAATTCAAAAGGAACTATAATCCCACTTGTTAATAGGTTCTCTTCCTCGAGTACTGTAAAGCCAGAAAGGTGTAGTCTTGTGTTGTCTAGAAGGATTTGGTCAATAATCAAGAATTCAAAAGGAACTATATCTAGTTTTTCATGAATATTTTAGAATGGGGATGCCAGATTTTTTTTTTGGTTTTTTGATCAGGGGTGACATGGGGGGTGTTTAGAAGGCAATTTGTATAGGTCACTTCATGTAGTACATGCAATATAAAAACCACACACTACACAGATATCAAAGGAACTAAGGAAGAAATTGAGAGAAGTAAGGTTTTACCTTGAGATTTGGTACACGCACAATCTGAAGTACAGTGAGAATTAACGCAATACCCTACCAAAGCAAAAAGTTAGTTAGCAGTTGTAGATTTTCAGCAAGCACCTATAACAAGAAGAAGCATTTTAAACCATCCCCGTATGTCTTTCCCTGGAAATTGGGAAAAATAAAGCATGCTGGGTGGATGCAAAAATTTTAAGATATCTAACGTTTCTCCTCCTTTTAATCCCACCCAGACTCCGGTTAAAAGTTCAAATCTTAGGTAAAAGAACATTTAATGCTAACTCTCCCCAGCAGAGCACGAAAAAAAGAATATTCCACCATAAGTACAAACTACAACATAGTCTCAGCACTATTCTTTTTTCTCTTTTATTGAAACTGAAGTATGTTATTCCAAGTCTTCAGTCTCCCGTTCCAGAACTAGTCCTAATCTCAGTCTTTCCTTGAATTTGACCCAATTATCTAAGCCTATACCAGGACCCAGCCTGTTATTAAACCAAAAATAATGCATGACGCAGCAAAGACAGTAATCAATGCAATATTCATAAGTGGTAAAATAGGTAGAATTAAGGAAAATGGATAGAGATAAATTCATACAAGAATATCTTGACCAATCCATGCAAAGGGCTCCCGGCGGTAAACACCCCAAAGAACAGCACATACTATGCAGAACGGAGAAACAGCCATAGCCAGATATGAGACTGCTCCAAAGATGGGCACTTTAATAAATGTTCCGGCAGCATGTTTAAAGCACCTGAAACTACATTTGCAAGCATGTCAGTTTATTCTGCATTTTACACAAATATATCTGCACAATATCACATAGACTTAGCCAACACATCATAGGATTGGATGATTGGATCTCATGTCACCAGACAGTACAACATGCACTTAGCTGAGAAAAGCATCAAATCGTTTTATTTATTTAGATAGAGTTTAGCAATATGGCATAACAAGAACTTCAAGCAATATGTAAGCATACCTTGATAGCAACGCTACCAAGCACGTTTGCAAACCCTGTACAAGATCATTGAGCTTAGATCAGTACAGATTTTAACAGTGAAAAGCCAACATTTTAGGTAAATACTTATGGTTAAGAAGCCTCTCTGATCATACATAAATGTAAAGGATAATCAGGATCTTTTCTGCCAAAAGACAAACTGAATTTAACTGCAGTTGTGCAACTTATGAGCTGTGCTTACCTCTGCTCCACCAATGCAAAACAGAACCACCAGAACATCGATAAACCAGAGTGACATAAGTTTGTACAGCATAACCAAAAACAATGAAGCAACCACAACGAAAAGAAATGCTGATCTGGTACTGATATCTACAAATGCAGATGAACCATTTTCTTCAGAAACTGCAACCTCCTCTGATGCATCCTGCAGAACAAAATCAAATAATTTGATTTTATCATCCAATTTCACCTTTTCAAACAAGAAAATACACAAGCATCCAAAAATTGCATGGCAGAACCTTTAACATCTTATCATGTTCAATAGCTGTCTCCCTTGCATTCCATGCGGACCAATAAGACGCACATAAAATAGTGCCGACAGCCATGAGCCACAGAAAAACTTCTGCCACATCAACTTCTGGGCGCTTTGGAGAGTACAGCTGCACATAAACTGAAGAAAGGGAATCCTGTAAATAGTCATAGGAAATGAAAACCCATGCCAAAAACAATGGCTGTTCAAGCCATACATGGTTACCAATACGTGTCAATCAAAGCACTTATATCTTACCCCTAGAATTGTTGTACAATAGATCTTCCAAGGTTTCACCAGCATATATTGGTAACATGACAGCAGGAATGCGGATATTTGTATCAGCATCCTCCTCGCAGACCATTTTGAAGAGTTCTGTATGAAAGATCCAATGAATAGTTATGCTCTCTAGCTGTAATAGAGAGATTTCACACAACAGACATCAGTTGTGGTTCTCCGTTTGCACAAAAAGCCATACCTCAAGCCATATAGAATCTATCCCACAAGGAAAAATAGTAAATTTCTACCAAAAGAGCAATTAACCATTGTCTCATCACCATTTTACCGAGACTTCTATAAAATCAAGGTCAGGGGAACATAGGAGTGTACAATGGACATGTGTTTTGGGGTCTATAGAGCAGAGAAATCCAGAGACCAGACACATACATACAGATATGCTGATTTCAGACAATTTTCAGCTTTGGCATCAATAGCAGATCTGATTGGACAAACATCACATATGTGTGCCAAAACATGTAATCACTTTAAATTTGGGGTCCTATGAAAAAGCTTCATGCTATTAACCAATAAACAAAACCATCACTGCAGGCCTGCAGCTGTATTCCTAAGTTGTGATCTGCAGTCACAGAATGTGATAATTTGCAGCAGTTGGGATATGGAAGTTCAGCCAAGATTTAATACTTTGATTTCTAGTCTCTTGCAGATTGCAGTAATAACACACTGACCTTCTCTAGCCAGAAAAAAGTCGTAAAGCCTTCAAACAAATTATCAATTGAGTTTTTTTAATAGATAGTCCATAGTGGAGAACTGGAGATAAGCCCAGATAAAAAATAAATAAATAATAAAAATAAATAAATAAATAAATTCCATTCAAGGCCATTGTGGAGCAACCGCTATATAGGCTTCTTTTAGAAGGTAAAATGATGCAGCCATGACTTGACTAAAAATCCAATAACACTAGGCCTTCACCAAACTTAAGTTAGCATGATAAAGCAAGAAAGAGAGAGCGTGAGGACCAGAGGCCAGAAGGATTTGTGCCAACGGATAAATCTTCCTTGTGCAAAATTAAGGACGCTACATTAGCAAATAAAACATGTTTGAAGAACAATTAAAACATGTGTTAGAGCACCGCCACCACCATAGACTAGGCAAAATACAATAAACACTTAGCCTGAAACTTTTAAAAGGGCACATCAAAGCATACAAGGTAGCAGAATCCATAACAGAGAAGAGATAGAGCAAATACCTGTGCTATTGTTTACAATAAGGATAGCTGAAGCACCAGCATCTTCTGCAATGTTTGTCTTTGTAGTAAAACTGCAATTACCACGGTATACTAGTATAGCTTCACCAGTAAGCTACACATAAAATGAAAGAAAAGGCATAACTATTAAAGGAGGAATAAATGGATAAACGCTTGATTAAAGAAAAACTTTTCAAGGAAAGAAAACGGGCACAATAACCTAATTGATAAAATATTCAGGTGGCAAACCTCATGTGGAACTCAATGATGAATTTCTAAAACACTTTCTTGAGCATAACAATCCATTACATATTACTGTATACTATATGGGCTAAATATAACTTATCTAACTTCACTAAGGAATGAAATATTACTCAAACATACTTCTTGTGGGCAAACAATTGGAAGGGGGCAAAATTTTGCCCTTCCTATTTCAGCTGATGCTTTACGTGTTAGCTCATGGATCTTTTTTATCAGAACCAGAACTTGCAGATAGCAGTAGCATCTCCAAGGTGTAGTATTTTCCATTTTCATAATTAAAACATACATGTCTGAGGCAATGAAAGGGGTATGCTACTTGGAGAGTACTAATTATGTAATCAGGAGTTCTGAAACTTAAGGAATCCCAAATTGCTTCGAAGTACATGAAACTAGATAGATAATAATAATATAGTATACTAGATAATAGACAAATTAGGTAACCCATAATAGCCATGGGAAGTCAAACAAAAATTGTCAGATGTGTTAGTGTGTTACTGTACTACCTTTGTAGGATATTCTGTTAAAAGACAGACAAAATTTATCTTAGATTTTTAGGAATATACTTCGTAAAATATAAGATTGGAGAACATAGCTGAAAATAAAGATATGAACCTTATTTCTGGGAGGACTGCAACAATCCGGAGGGTCTGCCAGAGCGAGTCTTGTTTGGTTGGCATGCTTTTCCTTCGACTCCAGTGTTGGCCCAAATCGAGCACCGAGTCCCACATACTCATTATCCTCAAATCCATCAACCCATGTTGGCACCTTAACCTATTATAATAATAACAATCACAATGTTTTAACATTCCTAGATCACTTGAGGAAAAATCTACATGATTCAGCCATAGGCCTTAAGCTCTACTTGATCAAAACCCTTAATTTAAAAATCCAAATGTTCTGTACAGCAATTTTTTGAAAGCACAAGATAATAGCTTGAAGCTGAAATGACTACATATAATTCCATCACAAGTATATTTAAAAACCAAATTAGGAACAACATCAAAACAAGATTATAAACTAATACCAAGTAGTAATTATTATTATAGATATCATTATCATTAATATAAAAAACCAAATATCAAGATTTTGATGTTAGGGTACTTCACCCGGTAATCCTAAGTATACTAACTCTGACTAATCCAGATTTGAGCGTACTCAAGCCCCAACTGGGAAGGAAACTCTCCCAACAAATGATCAAACAAAAACTCACCACTCTAGATTTGTAGTGAGCATAGCTCTGCTATACCCAACCCCACATCTCTCAATCAAAAATCAAAATAAAAAAAAAAAATTACCATTTTATTGAATTGAAAAATTACACATAAATCATCCCAAGAAAAAAAAAAAAAAAGTCAAAGGCCCAATAAAACAAGACTTTAACCAAAAGAACACCCACAAAAATCAAAACAACACCCATTTCAGCTCTAATTTCAGAAATTGATCAAATCAAATCAAATTAAGCAACTAATCATAAATCATATACATCTCAAAAATTACTAAATATTACTGAAAATAAAACAAAATTACCAGGACAAAATTGTTTTCACAGCCAGGCTTCTTGGGAGCTTTATTATCTTCATGAACTATGTCACCGCCATAAACCCCACTTGAAAACCACCCAACAAAAAAACAACAAATTCCCAAAAATCTCCAAAAATTCATAGAATTTCTTCAACTATTTTCCCCTTAAAAATCAAATCTTTCTCTCTTTTTTATAGGGTTTTTTTCTTCAAACTTTTGGGTTTCTTGTACTACCATCAAATAAATATAAAAAAAAAGTTTAATTTACATTAATTTTTAATTCAAACAAAATAGTGAAAAACACAACAGAAGCTAGAAAGAAGGTGGGAGTTAGAGGAGAGAGAAGAAGAAAATGTTAAGGTGGTAAGTCATCAAACAAATGTTTTTTTTTTTAAAAAAAAAAAAACTTAATTTGAGTGTACTTTTTATTTATAGCCGTTGATTTTTAAACAGGGATGATCGTACGCCACGTGTTGATTTAGCGCGTGAGTTTAACGAACCAATAAAAGCGCCGGAGATTGGGGCACGTGTCGTCCGTACAAAAAGGGAGTTTAGTGCTTCGACGGTGATATCAATTGGTTACCGGTTAAACCGGTAATTTATCTGAAGAAAGAGAAAGAGATAAATGTAGTTCCGTATTGAACCGTACAGATAAGACAATAAAAAGGAGGGAGAGAGTAAATTAAAGACAGTGATTATTATAATAATTTAATTTTATAGAAGGTGTATTAAAATGTCAACAAAAAAAAAAAAAGTCAACAAAAGAAAAAGAAAAAAAAAAAGGTGAAAGGTGAGTGGACTGACATTTCATATTTATGGTTTTCAGGTTAGTTTTTGTAGTTAGAAAAAGGATATTTGAGAACTTTAAGATAAATAGTCAACTTATTTGATGAGGATATTTTGACTTGTGCTATTTGATTCTTTGATTTCTAATTAAGAAAAGTAGTTCATATTAATCTTATTTGTATTTTTATAAACATTTTTATCAAATCACCATTAATGTGATATAAAAAAAAACCAAAAAAAAAACATAAAAGTTTGTAATTTCATTTTGATGTGTATGTTTTTTTTTTTGGTGTTTAGAGAGCCACAAGGGCGGAGTGAGAATCGATCCCAAGATTCCCTGTAACCGGGAGAGAAGATCTAACCACTTGAGCTATCCCTCACTCTTTTGATGTGTATGTATATATTAATGTTAATTTTTTTTTTAAAGTAAAATATTACATAATTGATAATTAAAAAGTCTTATATTCTATTTATTTTTATTTTTAAATGGGTTAGAGTGCAATTAAATTGCTTCAACTCTATTAACTAGCATAGAAAATGGGTAAATTACTCTTATTCTTTTAATTTTTTCAATGGAGTACTCATTTATTGATCTGTAAAAGTACAAAATAGGACTTATGTGTGTTTAATTTTGAATTTTGCAATCTGTGGTGCAGTGAGAATACCACCTCCATATAAAGTTGATGTCTACTAACATGTGAGAAATGCTAAATGATTGATTAATTTAAAAGTTATCTACCTTGTACCTTGTCATTACTCTTTCCTTATTACTCCATAATAGCTAACAAAGCATTTTTATACTCTAAAAACAATTGCTGTCAAATTTTAAACACTCTCTAGAGTATAGAGATGAAACTATGAAAGGTACAAGAAAAATGAATAAAGAGTATAGTATTGCCATGTTTATCTACTTTAATTTCTCTTGCCTGATAAAATGTATCCTTTTAATCAAAACAACTTTTGCAAGAGTTTAAAAGTTTTTCTAGGTGAGACGGAGGAAGTGGAGTTAGACCCTGTTCTTTTGAGCTTCTAGCTAGCTAGGCAAGCAAATCAGATTTTAACAAAAAAAAGCAGGTGTAAAAGAGTAGAATAGAACTCAGTAGAGCATAATAGCTCAAAAGAACAGAGTCTTGACATTGATCATTCTAATAACTAGTATACCACAATATGTATACTCCAATGTTTGCCTCATGTCCTCAATTTTTCTTTTTAAGTTGTTCTTACAAACATGTCTCATACCATGATACCACAACTTAACTCTCACCCAATATTTTTTGTATAAAATTACTATGGGACAAATAATAGGGAATGGAGGGAGCTGTATAATGATTAATGAATACCGTACTACTTAAACCCCCCCCCCCTCCCCAAAAAAAATAAAAAAAAAATAAAAAACCTACTCTAATTAATGAATGGAGGAGTCCGTACTAGTTAATCATGGTTCATGGGGACCTTATTCATGTCTAATCTACAAGCTAATCAATCAACATCCTACCAATCCACCTTCTCCAACTATTTTATCGTACAATAATAATATTTGCGCGTACTACTATGAATTGAATAGACCCTTAATCAAGATTAGGGTATGTTTAAAATATCATAGTAGTGACTAGTGAGTAGTAAGTACTGCACTACTATGGTCTATGGGTAGTTTTAGGGTACGGGGTACTATTATTGGGTTAGTTAATTAGCTCAACTATTTCAAAGGTACATGGTAACATATTCACCATGACACTATAGTTGAGCAAAATCGAGAGTTATTATACCATGTAATTCAATTACTTGTATTATTTAATACAACAACTAATTTTAGCAAACATATCAAAATAAACACGGTTAATCTATCGTATTTTAACTGTATAATCCAATCATATGTAGTACACGTTCGAGCATACCTAAATTAGCACTGCATATGGTCCATACTTCCATAGCACTCATCTTATGCATGCAGCTGTATGTACTGTCTAATTGTCCATGTACTCTGAACCGTAGAGCTTAATGTAGGAGTAAGTGGTACTTTATTCTGAGCCACTTGTGAAATTAAGCGGCTCGTCTATCAAAATCAGATCATTCATAATTCATCTTTGAAGAAACTTGATTAGAGGTTTATTTTATAGACTTGAAATTACATACAATGCATTTAATTATGAAGATTAGCCCTAGATCTTAAGATTTTAGATGACATCATCATTTTCTAATTTTGTGGTTTTAAGACAAGACTTTATTATTTTAAAGCATTTATGAAGTTTGGTCTTAATAAAATATGAAGTGGAGTCTTGAAAATTCAAGACTCAACTTCAGATTCAATTTACCACTCAATTAATTATTTTTTAATTTTTAAAAAACTTTAATAATTTAATTTATATGTAAAAAATGAGTTTGAGCGATTGAAGAGATAAAATTTATCGAGTCTTAAGGAGCCTTACATAATTATAAATTAGAAAAATAATTAAATTTAATCTAAAAAGCTGATGTGGCAATGAAATAAAGTCTTTAGATGAGACTGAGCTAATCTTTAAGTCTTGTGTATAACCAATTTCATGTTATCCTCCCATTTGTTTTTCAGAGTAGTCGTCGAGGGCTCGAGGCTATAATTAATAATCGCTTTTATTTATAAAAGTAACCTTATTTAATCCATAAGAAAAAAAAACTCCATTAATTACATTAATAACTTTAATTATCTTTTTTTTTAAAAAAAAAAAGTAATAAAAAGTAATCTCACGAGTTCATTTGAGTAACCTTTTATCTTGTTTTGACTATTTACAAAATAAATGAATAACTCTAGTTGTTTATAAAAGTGTCTATTATAATAATTTATTTGAACATCGTCAAAACTTCATTACTCAATAATCTTATATGAATACTTCGAATTTGAAGTGGTCACAAGATCAACTAAATTACTAAATGCATGTCTTATAGTTGTTTAACACAAAATTATTATTACTCCATAGTATATACTGTAATCATCTTAGATTCTTATACGGTACTAATAATAGTATAAATGTTACTCCTTTGTACAAGATTGTGTGTTGTTATTACTAATATTTTAGTAATACTTTTATATTTCTTATCTTATAAGCATTTAATTTCTTTTTCTTGATAAATAAGGCCTCAAGATAATAATAAAAATTATTGAGCAACTATTTGCACGGACCCACTAATAAAAGAGTGCACGGGCTGAGGTCCTTTCAATGTACGGAATGAATATCCTACATCAACAAGACAATAAGCTATTCCATATTAATTTATTGACATTATCTTCCAATTTTGAGAACGACAATATACCAAATTACTTGTATTATCGTTATCTTTGATTTCAGATTACATGTCTTTTTTTATGAAATTGTGGTTGATACTTGATGTTATGTATGGAGTCTGTATTATTTTTCAAATTTTATTTAAAATCTTGATAATTAAATTTAAAAATTAATTTAAATTTATTTTGAGCGCCATCTCTCAATGCTTTAATTAACTAAGTTAATTAACATTTATAATTTGAAAATTTGGATTAACTCGATATCTTTATTGAAAATCATATTCATCACAATATTTAGCTGTGATTGGAGCGTGGTAGTTTGTGGCAAAGGTGTTAGGTTCAAGCCTTTCTCTTATTTCTTCTTTATTTCTTTTTTATTTATTTATATATATTTTTTTTTTATCAAGTTCTCTTCAGCTCCTCCAAATGAAAAACTCTAAACCCACCACTGAAACTAAAAATTCTACATCTGTCACCGTTTATCGTAGTCACAAATCACAATATTTAGTTATGAATGATATGAAGTTTTGAACAATACCTCAACTTGAATTTAACATTATTTTTTCTAATAGGGAAAATTTGGAATTTATTTCTTATCATATACAAATACTGAAATACTTTAATACATCTACAAAATCTCCATTTTTAGATTTCCATCCCACACTCTTAGAGTCTTAGCAATTTACAAACTTACAAGATCACCCAAGAATACAAAAAAGAAGAATAAATTCATCACTGCTATTGTCTAATATGCTTTAAGGAAGGCAATTTGAGTGTTGCAGAGAGCCTGAGAGTCAATGCCGCTGCCTCCACTCTTGGATGGCAGAACGAAGGGCATGATTGGGAACGAGATTGCAGTGTTCGAGTTGTAGATTAGTCATGGGGGACGTATCATGGTCACCGTCAAGCCACCCTTGCAATGCTTCCGCCTCATAAGTGTAGCCATCCGCTGCAACATGTGGATCTTTCATGACTTCCTGAGAGTAGCACCACAACTTTTGTCCATAAGACATGTAAACAAATCTATATCTTAAAATTAAAGGGAGCAACAGTTTCCTTACTCGGATTGTAAATAACAAAAAAAGAACCCTGATACATATTTTGATGTAATTGAGTGTCTATCAAGGTATGTAAAATTAGATATACCTGGAAAATAGGACAAATGAAATAAGATGGAGCTTGACGATGTTCATCTCCAAGATGGTACGACGTTGAACCCCCACAGGAAGTTCTCATTGGCTCCAGGATCCTCCATACATCAGACTCCAAATCTGGCCGATCACTTGCATTCTCCTCACAACATCTCAATGCTAGCCGAGCCAATTGCTCAGCTTGCACAAATGGCCAATCTCCTGCTGAAGAATCCAAGAGGGTATCAAAACTGTTTTCATTCAAAGCGTCTTCCAATTCATATGTTATATCAGAAGCTGGTTTTCCAGTCAGCAATTCCAGCAGTATCAATCCAAAAGAGTAAACATCCATGGCAGGTGTAGCCACTTCTGTCATAATATACTCAGGATCTGTGTACGAGGAACTGTTAGACAGCTCAGTTCCGAAGTCACTGATCTTGCATGTGAAGTTCGAGTCAAGGTAAATGGAGGTGGGGTTTAGAGCACCGTGAACCACTCTTTCAGGTCCATGGCAATGAAGAAAGATTAGAACACAACATAGTTCAGTGGCGATCCTTATTCGAGTTTGCCATGAAAGAGGAATATTATCCGTATCCCCTGTAGAGTTTAATCTTTCTTGAAGACTTCCATTGGGGAGAAACTCATAGACAATAGCCCAAGCTTCAGGGCAAACTCCCATAAGAGTTACCACATTTGGATGTCTAAACTTGCTCAATATTTCAACCTAGTACATAACAGTGTAAGAGGATTTCAATAAATAAACAAACGGGCATGGCTTAAGATCCAAAAGTGTTCAAAATATGATAATAAAACTAGTAAAATACCTCTCGATGAAACTCTTGGGGACCTTGCAGGCCCTCAGGACGCCACATCTTTATAGTTACTTGTGTGTGGGAGATAACTCCTTTATAAATGCTTCCATTCTCGCCTTCCCATAGTTGAAATGATGGGTCAAAGTCATTAGTTGCTCTTTCAATCTCTGCAAAAGTGAACGTGGTGAAGAACCTGAGGTCATCAGATTTGGATGCTGCTTCAGCAGATTGATTTAACAATTCTTCAGCTGTCTTGAGGACACTGTCACGTTCAATCTTCAAGTCATCGCGATCTTTCTCACAAACCTGTAGCAGTTCTACATTAGAAATAAACCCTTCCTCTAATTCCTTCAGTACTTGATCGTAGTTTGCAACTTTGCCTTCCAACACTAAATTCTGATCCATTGCATCCTGGTATTTTTCCCTAAGCTTGTCTCGATCATTCTTTAACTTTTCAAGTTCTTCCTCAAGTTCTTTACATTTTCTCTCTGCCTCTGCATATGCTCCTGATGATATTTCCTGTAAAATCAGCAGCCAGGTGACTGGCAAATGGTGAAAGGTGTAGAGAAGTTTAAGCTTAAACACTAGTGACAAACAATTAGTCATCTCAAATATTAGACATTTAAGCAAGTAAATCAATGATAAACAGATGGTAATACTTCAAAAAACCTTTAGGCATGGCTATTTTAAACTAGAGCTTTCTGCTGGAGAAAATTAAAGAAAAGTGATAAAGTACCATGCAAAGCAAATATTGAAATCGCTTTCAAACCTTCTATCAAGCATCATCACAATCAAGGACCAAAGAGACCTCATGTCAGAATGTTTAAGTTATACAACACCATATTCTGGTCCAAAAGAACCGTATATTAAACAAAATAAAAGTCACTACAATACATCAAAACAGAAACAAATCTACTAATTTCAGTGCAGTGGCAGTTGAACTAATCTACAGCAACTGTCTGCCTTAAATTTTCTGTCTTAAGCACGATTTACTTCAAAACTGCTTGTTCATGGTTCAGACCAGTTCCCAGCAACTGTCATAAAACCCACAGCTAGCAGAATATTTGATAAAAGAACAAGTGTTCCATAGACAAGATTATCACTTTGTGATGGCCAAAAGCATCCCTAATAAGTAATAAGTGTCCCGGCCAAACAAACCATATGACACATAACAAAACTTTAACAAAATTAGACTGTTGTACATACCTGTGCATCTGAATGAGAAGAAGATAAATGACGTTGATGATTCTGTTCTAAAAATTCACCCCAGTCATAGCAATTAGCTTCTAGATCAAATTCAGGCAAAGAAACATGAGTTTTGATGTTGTCCATAGAGGAAAGATCAGTAAATCTCCCATTACTTGTATCAAATTGAGATGATCCTTCACCAAAAATTAACTCTTTTTTCCCAATTATAGACTTATTGCTTTGACCATTCACTGAAAGGAAATTTGAGTTAATGGACCTCTCGTTCTGAGCATGAATTCTCTCTTCTGAACTAAACTTCCTGAGGAAAGTAAATGCTTCAGATCAGTACCCCAACTGCTGATAAATTCAGGTACAACATCAGAAACAAATACAACAGCCATTGGGGAAAAAATATTAATTAGTGCCAACCTGCTTTCATGCTAAGCTCCTATAAAATTCTAAGCATCCCAAAAGTTAAGCAAACACTATACAATGGTCAAGTCCATTTGAGCTCTCCTAGATTCATCACCTTGTCGGGGTTCACTAGACAGCTTAAATCAGAATTTTTTTATGGGTCAGGAAGCCTACAACTTTAAGCATACAGAAAGCCAAGGGCTCAATCACAAGTTTGGGTGCAAAAAAAACAAGGGCCAATCATGTAAAAAATTCTGAGATAATCAGACACCCAAAAGCATAAAGATCTGCAATCCCAGAGCAGGACGCTTCCTGTTGAAAGAAAAAACTATTAGCTATCCTTTTCACCCTAAGAAAAATCATATTCAAGAAGGGTTTATCCTCTAAAACCTAGCCAAGCAAACATTCCCAATTGTGAAGCTCTTGACAAAATTTCTACAGACACACTCTGAAAGCTGTGTTATATATAAACAATAGTACTTATCTAGACAGTAAATATTGAGGTCCTGCAGCTGGTGCTACAGCTTATAGATCTAGAAAGTCCAACGTTTTAGAGAAAGGAGTATCATGTATGGTGTATACCTTTGATGGATCAGATGTCCCTTGCAGATAAACCAGATGTGACACTTTGCAGGTGCATGCAGCTGCACATAAATTGCTTTCTTTGACACCGGCTCCATCATTTTCCTACGGATTTTAAGACAATATAATTAGAATCACAAACAACGGTCTTGTTCGCAAGTAATGCAAGTTTGACCAGATACAATTAAAGTGATTGTTTGGCTTTATACACATGGTATGTCTAAAAACCCAATATTTACAAAGAAAGGTTATGAACTTGTATTGCCTATTCTGCAAGGAGTTAATTAGCAAAATGCTATACATGAAAATTGTTACAGTAACAAATTGATTATGAGAATTCTTCCTCACCAGTCAAGAATTTACACACAGTTGGCAATAACATGAAACCAAACAAAACCAAATTAACCTCCTACACATACATCTGATAGCAGTCATCTTGCGCAGCACCCATCACAAGCTTTTCAATATTGTGTTCAGCAATAAGCTGCAAGATCCCCTGCTCAACTGAATCCATCTCAATATGGAGCTTCTCTGCTTGCACCTACAACAAAAATAAAACACAAAATTGAAGCCGAAAAGTCAATAAATAAAGTTGCAATCGGATTTATTCTAGAAATCATTAGTTTGCAGAACAGCAGCAGGAGTGAAGTATGTAAGACCGAACAAATCATCAAGTAAGAAAATGATTACCCCAAACTGGTGACAGATGTGAAGATACTCATCTAAAGTTTTAAGCATAAATTGTCTCTCAATTCTTCGATATGCCTTGACTTCCTGCTCTTTCAAGGAGCTCCAGTGGAACTTTTCACCCACTACAAGTTAACATAAATAGAGAAATTTCATCAGTAAATAAACATATATGGCCTCTTTATATGATCATATCTAATGTTACAAGCTACTCCATTCAAGAAGAACCTATTCTCCGAAACACAAAAAAGATGCATTCTTCATCAGGAATTTTATCCTAAACACACTATTGTAATAATTTCTAAGTAATTGGTCCAACGCTGCATTCTACATTTATAAGATAATTATAGGATGAACCCATAAGCCAAGAGCTCTTCCTTATACAGCAGTAAGTAGATTGGTAGACTAAACTAGAAAAAATGACACAATTCTCAAATTCCTTATTATTTTTGGGTTAAAAAAACCCATATAAGTTCACAAGTCTATAAAAAGCACCAAATCAAAAAATTTAAACTTTACTCAACTTCAAGTTACAGCCTTGCAGGCGACCACTATGTAATTAATATAAACAGCCAATTACAAGGCACGACACGACATGATACTCTAATATGCAAAACCTCAACCCACTATACCAAAAACATTTCAATTCCTATTTCCAGTTCAACTTGAACAAAACAGTTGATCAAAGGAAAAATAGTAACCAAACTAAAAACTCTTGTATAATAAATAATCCATATAAAAGTACTTATATATAGTACAAGGAAACCCACCAAAATTTATCAATAACAACAATATAATCCATATTATAAGAAATAAATAATAAAAATGATGGGAATTGAAGAAATTACAAATAGGGATGAAATTATCAGGCTGATGAACATGAAGAATGGAAATTGTGCGACCACCGGAATTCTGGATAGCCCAAGATAAAAGGGATTCGTTTTGTTTCACCTCTTTTCCAACTGCAACGTAAAGCTTCTCTTCTTCTTTCATGGAAGTTATGGGTTTTGAATAACTGCCGTGATCATCTTCAACAACTATCAAATCCATGTTTTTTTTTTTGGAAATTAACTCAACCCTTTAAATTATACTTTAAGAAAATTTGATCAAAACCCCAATTAATTCTAAGCCAAATTGAGAAGAATATATTATTGGGAAAGAATCATTAGACAAGGTCAAGTCATTGGTATTTTTTTCTTTTCCAATATTCTTTGCCAACTCAGTCAACTGAAGTCTGAAAGTTTAGACAATAAATAAGTAACTGTACAGTAGTGCGAAGGTGTTGGACTGTTGGTACCATGGTATGGTATTGAAATGGGCTCGCTAGTTTGGTGGCTTTTTTTTTTAATTTGAATTCAAATAGAGCTGTCAAAAGATGATTTGACTCGAGAAATCAATTGAAGTTTGGCCCAACTCACCCAAGTGAATTTGAGAAAGTGAATTCTCAATCTGATGTTGAATCAATCTGATAATTACCATTTATTTTAAAATGCGAAAGATTTGATTTATTTACAGCCAATTTGAGGATACTCGACACATGATTTAGATTTGATTATTTAAACCAAACCAAACCTACGCAAGCCAAATCAAACCCACATCCGACATGATAACAATTGCATTAGTGCAATTGACCCAATCAAGTAAACTCGATTTTAAGTGAAGTGTATGGGGAAATAGAGAGTTCTGTTTATTTTATGCTCATATACTTACTATGAATATTAAATTTGAGTTGGATAATGTAAATGTTACGATGAATATTAAATTTGAGTTGTATGCTCCTTGAACCATATGTTTAGGCTTATAAGCCGTGACTATCAAGGTTATAAATTATAACAAGTACTCCGTACTTGCAAATTTGAGCTGGGCCAGCAATACAAGAGTCAAAACTTGACCCCAATCCAATAAACCTTCAAACCCAAAATATATCGATATAAATCCATCCAAAACCCAAAATAAATTGAATCCAAGATTGGACTAAACCGAAATTACTTGAAGCAAATCCAACCAGAACCCAAAATGATGGGATTTCATAAACCTTTTGGTGTACATACAACATATGAACATGAATTACTCAAGTTGGTGCGTCTGCTGCCATTCTTGAATTGCTGATCGTAGGGTGCGGTTAGGAGTAAGGTTAAGACTATCAAGTTTAAGATTAGTCATCGGTGAAGTATCATGGCCACCCTCAAACCACCCTCTAATAGCATCTGCTTCATATGTAAATCCATCAGCAGCAACCTGTGGATCCCGCATTATTTCCTACACAAGTACGTTATCAACGTAAATATATTTGTGACAGTTTGATTGAAATGTCTGGAATCTATGAAGTTAACAAACCTGAAAAATGGGACAAATGAAATAGGAAGGCACTTGGTCTCCACTGACAAGCTGAAGAGGGCTTGATAAGCTACTAGTAGGATTCATCACTGGTTTAAGCACCTTCCATACTTCTGAACCAAGGTCTGGTCGGTCTTTTGCTTTGACATCACAGCACTTCAATGCTATTTGAACTAGATGCACTGCTCGTACAACCGGCCAGTCACCAGCAGAAGGATCTAATATCCTATAGAAATTATCCTCCTGTAGAGCACGCTGAACCTTTTTCACTATATTCAAGGCAGGTTTTCCAGTTAACAGGCGCAATAATATGATACCGAATGAATATACATCATATTTAGGGGAAAGATGTTCTTCTGTGGGGGTCTTCTTGTTGTTTGCAATAATATGGCAAGAACCAAGTCCACTTAGCTTGCAGCTGAAATTGGCATCAAGCAGTACATTTTTTGGGTTTAAGTCACCGTGTATGATGCTGCAAGGTTGGATGGAATGAAGAAAGTTAAGGACTGAACACAGTTCAGTGACTATACGGATTCTTGTTTGCCAGGATAACGAGTGGGTACTGTCCTTGCAAATCAGTCGGTCTTCAAGACTTCCGTTGGGAAGATACTCATAGATGAGAGCCAAGGGGTCTGGGCTTGCACCAATGAGAGTCAACAGGTTTGGATGACGCAGCTTGCTTAATACATCAATCTGAAAGAAAAGTACAGCTTATGTATAGATTATTCATAGTTCCAAATTGTTCAACCAAGTACAATTTATGCAGAGGTAAGTCAAAATTCCAGTCATTTGATTGGAAGAGGAGATATCGATGGTTTTTTCATCCTCTACCTTATATGGACTTGAACCCATGTTCTATGCATCTTACCTTCTTAAGGATCATGTTCCTATTTCTACACAAGAGCAATATTGCAAAATTCCCAAAATTTATTTTTGTAATACATGTTTACTTCTGATATTGTTTAGCGTTCCAAAGAATTGAAGAAATGATTACACTGTTACTTATCATCAAAACCAAACTTTCATCAAACAATGCACAGATGAAGCATGACAAATATAGAGAGTAACTATATAATGTTACCTCTAGTTTATAATTTGCGATACCCTGCAAGCTATCAGGTTTAATTATCTTTATCGCCACTTCAGTGTTATGCAGAAAGCCTTTATATACACTTTCATAATCTCCTTCCTGAATTCTCAATGATGGATCAAAGAACATTGTAGCTGCCTTGATATCTAACTGGGAAAACTTTAAACATTTGAACATAACACTTCAGCAGCATTATTATCTGCATATAGATACAAACATCATTAGTATCATCATAATCCATTTGCACTTTATGGCACTGCTTCATTTATTTTAGCACTTTCTCTACAAAGAGCATTTTCTCTTCCATTTCCTCCCCCTCGAGAACACAGACCTCAAATAAGTCTTTCAAGGGATGAGAACTCACCAGCTGCTTGGGAAAACATCTTCAAAACCTTAATTATCTTGAACTGCATAGCCAGCTCATCTTCAGCTGCTTTCAGCTGCATATATATAAGTGGTTAAAAACAAAACCATGATGCACTTTAAGGAAAGTAAATTTTTAAAATGTTTCTCCAAACTTCTTTACAGGCAATGGGATATATTTTAAGCTAAATGTCTTCATCAGAGAGATTGATTTGGTACAAATTTGTACATGTCTAGACAAAAAAAAATCCTGACTGTTAGTCCCTCTGTCTGTAGAATTCTGTTTAAAAGTTACCTTGTGAAGTGCCTTAACGGCCTCTTCCTCAGCTTGCTGTCGTCTCTTGTATTCTTCATGTGCTTTATGTCTTGCCAGTTCAACTTCTGCTAAGGCTTGCCGGAGTTGATCACAAGGATAATTGTTTATGATATTTGGCTACAAAATTAGAAAAAGGGTCAGGAGCTTCAAAGAATTTTAATAAAAACATTACTCCAGTTACTAAGAAGTTACTACTTTGAGAGAGATTGGCACAAGTTACTAGGGACTGTGCCAAAAAAGGTCTATTCCTTTATTTTCCAACCCACCAAAATTTAGGTCTTCAACAGTTGACATCTCAATCTACCAAATCAAACTCAGAAGTGATAATAAGGTAGAAATATGCCGATCATAAAGTTTTGGTAGATTAAAGGTTTTTTACTACTTCAATAATGTAGGATGCATAAAAACAGGGGCCAAATGCCTACCAGTACATTAGTAGGTGATGAAACATGCTGTGTGTTTTGAGATGGTGGTGATGACTCTGATGAGCTATGAGCTGAAGGTGAATCAACTGATGTGTAACTCAATCTGTTTAACTCTTTTCCTTTCAGATGTTGATTCAGTTGCTTCACACCTTCCCTATATCCCCCCATGTTGCAAAAATTAGTACATATATTCAAAGATTGTATTTGCATGCCACTAGAACCAATCACATTAATCAGAGGTAAAAGCATGCTGTTGCTATTGCTGGAAACCTTTCTCATGATTTCTTGGCATCTTTGACCAAATTTTTTGCAAGTTTACTAATCTACAAGCAAAGCTTATGGTGGAAATAAAATCTTAGCTTTTATATAGCACATACACGAACAGGCATTAATGATATATACTCACTCCATCAGTATTAATAGTCAAATATGCTCGTTCAGGATATTCGTAAAAATCAAAAGCAAATCTTAAATCAAGTAATGGGGTATTGGCTATTCAAAAAAATATGATACATTCATTAAAACAGGGAGATTTTCTACATTCATTAATTATGAAAGACTAAGACAAAGTAACAATTGATTCTGAACAGAGGAATATAATGTTATGCTTCTTTGAAATACAACTTAATACAAGCAAATAATCCACAACCTATCTGCAAGAGAATACCTAATCTATCACCCAAAGAATCCCTCCTCGATATCAATCTTGTAGCCAGTAACTATATTTGTGATATCATACAAACAAGTCAATTCAAGAGATTTGAAGCTAGTAGACACGGTGATTTTAAATGAAACCAGGTCTATAAGGTAATGAACAGATTGTAAGACTATTTTCTAATTAGTGCATATACCTTGTATAGATTAGACGAGCCTCAGATACAAAGAAGATATGACAGAAATCAGGAGCATGTTGAAGCACGTAGTTAGACTTTTGTGAGGCGGGTTTTGTTAAACTCCTGCAATAGATATCAGGGCAATTGTATAAAAACACGTACAATATATACAGATTATCTGTCTTTGCTCAGAGCATACTGCATAGAATTAGGTCACTAATATCATCAGGTGTCACACTTAATCAAAAACTGTAAAATAACAGACACAAAATATGAAAGTACATATAAATATACAATATCAAAAAATGTATTTATACCCCACAAATCTGCTGTTAGGTCCTGCACCCATAACCAATTTCTGTATCCCTAACTGAGATATGAGCTCCAAAATCCCATCAGCTACAGACTCCTTTTCGATATAGATTTTTTCAGACGGAACCTGCAAAAACGGGCACATAAATGACTACTAGATAAACCAGGAACTAAGAGAAGATGGGATAAAACAAATAAACACAACAGCATAAGGTAAATGGAAAGAGCCATTCACACAACAATGTAGTAGGTTTGGTCAATTTTCTGGACAATTTTTTTGGTTGCAAACTTATTCTTAATGCATCTTTTAACAGAATCACATATTTAAGGTATGTTACTAATTACACTAACTTAATAAAATCTGCTACATCTTTACTAACACATACAAGAAACACAAAAAAATTCCAGTCACTCATCCAATGAAGCGAGCAACAACAACCCGTGACATCGCCCGAGGCATAATAAAATAGTTTATCATGAGGGAACTAAAGGATCATACGATTTATACCTGAAAACTTTTAATTATCTGAACATATTTATCTAACATATTTTCCACCT